TTAGCAAGACTAAATTCAACAAAAGAATCTATTCTTTTGCACTTCACCCCATATTTTCCCACTTGCTAATTAGAGATGCAAATGTTGATAAATAAGACGATGGTTTTTAAGCACAACTGGGTCAATAAGTTGAACACTGTGCCCTGTTCCTCCAATTAAACTCCTATGAGAAATAGTTCAATTATAATTAGAGGAGCAATTATCCCCTTGTTTAAGGTGAAACAAATCACAGGTTTGTTTCAGTGAAAAATTCAGTTTTGCTCCTCTGCCCTGCCAACAAATCTTGTATCCATAGATGTTTTGATCCCAGTACTCTCCAGAAGAGATAATCCGATGAAATAAAGCATCCCTGAGTATATTTCTGGCTCATCATATGACAGCAACATTTTCCAGGCATAAACTAAAATGAGCAAAGAGGGATTCATTTCCTAGAGTGCTGCTATTATGCCACTGGAGCAACCCAGCACCCGTTCATGGGCATATTAATTTTCTGGCCTCTTTAGGGAGATGGGGAGGCTTCTGCTAAAAGGGAGGCAAATGTCTCTCCAGAAATGGAAGAAAAGCATTATATTTTTGACTTGATCCTAGCAAAAGAGTTATTAAAAATACTGAGCAGTACCATTTTAAAGTATTTCTGGGATTTGTTTTTCTTTCTTTCACCTAGTCTACTTTTAATTTTAATGTAATTATTATTAACCTGCCCTTTCATCCTTCAACTAAAGTAACTTCCAATGGTCTTTTGTTCTGATCTGGTGGGTTAGAACCCTGCTGAATTCTAGATTCCCTCACTCCACCCACCCTGAATTCTCTCAGTGTGCATCTTCACAGGTGACGAACATCCATTTTCGGGGACGTTCCATTTCCTGAGGTGCAGTCTCTGTGTCACATCCATCAGGGACTCTTTATTCCATTTAGTTAAATATTCTTAGAGAATATACTACAAAACCTATAGTCTACTCGTGTTAGAGATAAATATGAGCAAAAACCCCCTTTTGCTCCTTATTTCATCACAGTCTAGTTGGGCTGGCAGAGGAGTTTTTAACGGATACATTTCAAAACAGATAATAGTCAGAGCTATAAAAAATCAGGGCACCTAGGGGCTGGCATTCAGCCAATCATACTGGTTCTTCCATACTAGGTGTCAAATCCTGAAAGAGTTCTGTATCTGCTACTTAATAACTGAGTGCCCTTCCCCACCACACACTGGCTCCCCAGGGTCCCTGGACCACCCTGTGATTCAGCAGCTAAAGGGCTTTTATTTCATACAGCAGAAGGCCTTCAGACCCTGCCCCTGAGCTAAGGAAGCTGTGTGGGTGATAAATACTTTAAATAAAGAATAGAGAGATAAAGAAAGGGTCTGACAAGGAGGCCAAAGGAAGGAACAGCTGAGACTAGAGCTCTGAAACCCTCACGCTTCATCCCTGAGGCGCCCACAATACAGGTTTTCTTAACCAATGAGTTCTGAGAGGAGCTCTTAGTCAAAACTGTCACCACCTGGAGAGACGGAGTATAAGGCATCCTGAGGTGGCCTCTTCCTCCTCTGAGACTTTGTCACCCTCTCTCCTTTGGCTTGAAAAGGAGAACTACCAACAGTAGCCCCAGCCCAAATTTCCTCTTTCGAAGAAAGTATCTCGGGTCCATGATGACTAAATAGACAACTTTAAAAATCAGAGTGAGGACAGCAGCCCACCAGGACTTGCTGCAGATATTCACATTAACAAGTCATTGATAAAGCAAATGTGTTATGTAAATAAGGGGTTTCCTTGTTTTAAAGCTCAAAGGTTATCTTCTTGTAGCATTCACGGACTCCAACCAAAGTGACTGCCTGGAAAACAGGAGGGCATCTTGGTGATGCTTCGCAGGACAGAAGCTTCATCTCTGTAAAGCCCACAGCACCCAACAGAGGTGCAATGTGCTCAGCGACTACGCCGAAGTCACAAGGTTGAATTCAGGCTTCTGTGAATCAACAGGTGATAATGTAATAATAGCACTAATAATGTTTCTTGAGTCCGTCTACGTGTTCTAAGTGATTTGCGTATATCGTCTCATTTAACCTTCAGCTACATGTTGGAGAGACACTATTATTGTCTTCATTTTGTAATTTAATTGAGGAAACTTAGGTACAGAGAATTGAAATACCTTGCCCAAAGTCAAGGAGTTAAAAATGGTGACACTTGGGTTTAAACCTAGAGTTCTGTAAGGACTCTGTAAGGAAGTTTAATATTCTGCAGTGTAAATTAAAGCCAAAATAGGGGAGAATATTAAGTGTTATCACCTCAGAGAAGCCTATGCCATTATTTCACTGAAGGTGATGCCACTGTAATTTAGGATTAGTAGAGCTCTTTGGAAACATACTGACGTGTATGGGAAGGAAGAAAATTAATGCCTCCTGCTGTTCTGTAAAGAATATACTTGACTATTTCTTCAATGATGCTAGACATATAAAAGAAAGATAAAGTGAATCAATCAACCACGTATTCGTTGAGCATTTCGTATCTGAGTTTTTCAGAATCATTGGCCTTGAATACAAAAGAAGCATAAATCCTTGCAAGCAGGCCTGATATCCTAAGGATTGATTTTATTTATGGTAAAACACTAGAGTTTTACCTGCTGGTTTCCCTTTAAGATCAATATTACATTTTATGCTATTTTTATGCTTTTAGATGCCTCAAGCCAATAAATGAAAATTAAATAATGAATGCATGTCATTAAATTTAAATAATCTTACAATCCTCTAACTCACCACATTACATTTCATCCCCTTCTTTTTAAATTTATCTGCCCCTCTTGAGCAAATGACAGTTGTAATGTGTCATGTTAAGGTATTCATTAGATTTCTGATCTTGGGGATTCTAAGAGTGTTGAAAATAACCTACACAGGAGTTTATTAGTCTGCTCTCGAACATGTGTGTTTGATCTCTCTTCTGACTTCAAAAAAGAAAAAAAAATTTGCATAAAATATAGTTCTTTGAATGTCAAATGGGTATATGATTTTTGAGCTTGTCAAGTGTTAATTGGTCTCTTCCCCAGTGATGATACAAATAAAATTCACAGCCAATTAATTTGCAGGCATAAATCTTTACTCCTTGACAAAGTGAACCACTTTACTGAGGAGACCAAAAAAAAAAAAGAAGAAAAAGAAATTACTGGAATCTCCTCACTGCAAGTCTATGCAGGGATCAGCTATCTTTAAGAAACACCATGTGGAGTCAAAAATGAGGCTATGGATACCCGTGTTACTCAAGACATGTTCTGGTGTTTAAGGTAGTTTAGTGGAGAAGGTTTGCATTAGAATTTTAGAAAGACAATTAAGGGGACAGATGCACTTATTGTAATAAGTAAAATGAAATATTGACTAGAGAAGGGTTGCCTCCTTTTTAATCACAATAAATCATATTGTGCATCAGTGTTGGAAGGTAAGGTTTCAGTGTGGTTGGATAAAACAGCTATAATCATGCAAGGTCTCTGATATGATGCTAGAAAGTGCCATTTGATGCCAGGTACAAGGCAAAAAATAGTTCTTTTCTTTCAAAGTAAAAAAGGAAATTTCATTAAGAGTGCCACTTTGAGTCTTTGCATTGACACACTGGAGATATGAATGGCTGTGACAGAAAAATTGAGTTATTTTGTAAGGGCCCTACCTACACTTCTAATTAACATATTATTATTATTATTATTATTATTATTATTATTATTATTATTATTATTATTATTATTATTATTAATTTGGAAAGAGCAACCCAATGTTTAATTTTGTTATCATGGAACCAGCTAACTGTGTTGACTCTCACTGCTGCCTGAACTTTCAAAAGACTGAAAAACTATGTAAATCTAATAGTAGGTGTGTTGATTAACTGTTATCATTTTTTGGACAATGTTGTAAGTCCCAGTAATACTATTTTGCACTTTCATAGACAGGAAAAATTTAGGGCTTAATTTTACAAAAAAAAATCAGCTGATCCATATAGAGGCCAAGTTACAATAAAAAAAATGCCTCTTTCCATATTTGCCATAAAGAGTAAAAATTCCAAAGAACTCAATGTAGCTTAGAGGTTAAAATGACCACCAGCAAATTGGCAGCTATGTCACTTGTCAAACTGAAGTTTTTCTGCTTTCGTAGGATACTGGATCTTCTAGGGCAACAGTGTGTGATGCATATTAGAATGTCTCCTAATACTCACCAAAGGGTAATATTTTTCAGAGTTTGGAATTATTTAAAATGAAATGAAGGACACGGTATTTGATGATTTTCCTCAGCAGTGTGCTCTAAGGGGATGGTGTCTCAAGGAGAACTTGGGACTCCCTTGTGGTCACTCAGACCTATCCCCATGGACAGGCATTTTTAAAGGCATTGTATTGTTTGGTGCTAATAAAAAGTCATGGTATAAATCTGATTTATAATACTTCGCTAGTGATCAATAGGCTTTGTTTCAGCAAAAACAGAAACTAAAAATGAGGAGCTGATGGAAAGCTTACAGGGTGAAATGAACTGACATTTCTCAAACATGTTTTTGTTCATGGTGTGTGGATGTGCCTCTCAGGTATGTCCATGCTTACATCATAGAGCAAGAAATCCATATGTGGAGTGCACGGGTTCATGGATACACACACACACACACACACACACACACACACACGCTTCCTAGATTGTTTGCATTGTATCAAGAACAATAATAAAATTGATAGCACATTATTAAGTCATACCATTTTTCTCTATGATTAGTGCCAGATAAAATAAAGCTGTGTTTCTGATTTCTTGAAAGAGAATGACAAAATTAAACCAAGCTGCCTGTGGCTTTGTCCAGTGGGGCATTCTAATTGACTCCAAGTCATTAATCAGTTTCCAATCAATCTATTTTGCCAGTAGCAAGCAGTTAGGACTCCATTACCAACCATTCATCATGCCATCCCCTAATTCACTGCACCATTAGCCATGGATTAGGCCTCTATTAGAATAACTAAGTGCCAGTTACTAAATGCAAAGAATTTTTGTTACTTGCCTCAGCCACTGGGATCCCTTCAGGTGGTCGACACTGGAGCAAGACTTCCTGTTCCAAGGATACTTCCTTTCCCAGGGGTTCCTGCTCAAATGTCTTACGTAGATCTGGAGAGCACAAGAAATAAAATACAAGACAAAGCTGATTAACATTAATTATTTACGGGAAGTACAATAAAAATTTCACAGTTTAGTATTTTGTGTTTCTTTGTATTTTTTAATCACATATTAGTACTGAACCATAATCTGAGTGATTTTATTCTGTGTAGTGGAAATTATGAAATTCAGAGGCTATTAACTGTTCCTACTTTAATCTTCACTGGAATGCTTCGGAGATCCTTGTTTTAACAATTAGTGAAATTCATTTATCGTGTTTCCTAATATTTCTTAATAACCAACTATAATGATCACATTTTTAATCAGATGAATCCCATTGTTATGATCCTCATTCATACAGAGTCGCTTATGTATAGTAATTTTTTTCTTCACAATAGATACTGTGGAAGTTGTAATAATTCCAAGATCTTTTGATCAATAACTCAAAAGCAAGGTTCAGTTTCAGAGTGGAAAATAGAATGTTGGAGTCCTGAAAGAATGAATATAGCTTCTTGAGGTGTCTCAAACACAAGGCAGGGAAAAGAGTAACTACTGGGGAGAGTCCAGAAATATCTTAATATGTAACTATATGACCATTCTTCAATTAGTAGATTAAATAGTCATTTCTGTTCAAATATACCAAAACTCTAATTATGCATTTCTTTAGTTGCTATAGCAATAAGCAGTACAATTTTCAAAACTGCTGTTGATGGACACAAAAATGTTAGAAACCAATTAGTCATTTTAAACACCAAAGCTAAAAAGTAAACATTAGCTAAAGAGTTTCGAAGCAGCATTTTTTTTTAAAGAGCAAAGCAAAAAATTTATTTCATATTCTGTTCAGCTCCTTCCAACAAAAAGTTATTGGAAATTTGCCCAGTTGACTTAACTTAAAAAAGTAAGCACCTCTGTCCTTTCATCCCATGTCCCCATTAAAGACTTGAGAATCTAAAGCACCATTTCAGCCTACCAAACTACTGGGTGGAAATCCAAAGACTCTGGAACTATATTTGCAGTATCTTTTAAGGAGCTATTAGAAAGCACACCTGGAAAAACGCAGTGTGAAAAAATACACTGTCATATATTTGCCATTTGGTTGAATTTCTTGGAAGAAAAACTTCAAGAGCTTAAGGGTTGTGAAAAGATTATTGGATATGTGTGGATCTAAGGTAAGACAAGAGACTATCCCAATGGTGACAGAATTTCTGTCAGAAGGGCATTTCTAATGTGATTATCAAGAAATTAAATATATTGTAGGAATGAACACTTAAAATCCACAGTTGTTAGAACTTGAAATTTATCTAAACCATGTCCTTATTTTATATATGAAAAACATGTTTCTCAGATTACTCAAAGCCTCACAGCAAAATAATCGATACCACATTAGAATCTGCTGACCCTTGATTTGATAGCTATTTTGCTATCCACACATCCCTTTGCATCTCTTTTGGTTGATCTGTGTCCTTCCAAAAGAGACATTAAACTTTTTTCTACTCTTTCTTTTCTCATATGGTAGTTTCTCCTTCTTTTTAATCTGCATTAAGATAAAAACTTCAGCAATACACCAAACACCACTTTAATAAAAATAATAGTAATGAATAACTTTTATGGGATAAAATGTTCTTGACAAGGTATATTTTGTTTGTGAAAGTGATTCTGAAAAACTCCCATCTGATGTGGGGTAGGGTGAAGACCTAAAGACAGGAAGTAGTTCTCAAATCAAGTAAAATATTGATCCATTCTCAGTTAAACTAACCAGCACATCACAAAATAAGGATTGAAAATTAGAAGGTGTGAGGCATGTATGTCTTCAAATGGTCAAAACAAATTCCTTTAACATTTATTAATTATCTCCTTATGGTAAACCCTTTATTAGTTACTTAGGATGAAGATGTGCAAGATTCAGAATCAAGACTAGAAAGATAAGCTGAGATCTATTAATGAAAAGCCTCCTGTTATGCTAACAAATGGCAAACTCTCAAAGGCTTCTAAGCAGGGAGGGAGATCAGATGTCGTTTTACCCTCAGTGTGATGGAGGAGGTGGTGGAGAGCAGAAGGTACTTAGGGACCCATCTGAACAGACCAGGAGGGATGATGAGGTTTTGAACTCAGCAAGTGACAGTGGATGGCAAGAGGACAGAGCAGATTCTAGTAGTAAATAGATCAGAAGTTTGGGGAGACCTACGTATCTGGAGAGTGCCAAGGGGAAAGGATAATACCATATTCTTAGCTACTGCAGTTGTTAAGTGGATACCATCACTGAATGAAATAATACCAAATTAGGTAAGAAAGTGGGGAGAAAAGCAGCAAATTTATTTTGATACGTGTTCAGTTTGGTGCAACTGGAAAAGTCCAGTAGGTCCAGATCATGACTTCTCAACCTCAGCACAAGCGACATTTGGGACTGGATAATTCTGTTTGCTTGTTTGTTTGTTTAAAGGATTTTTATACTATATTTTAAAAATCCCACAAAATAAAAAAGGAATCAATCAACGTATATCTTCAAAGTCCTTCCCAAAGTCTCTGCACCCTACAACCATGCGGCTGGTTGTTGCCTTTTTCTTCTCTGCTCAGTCCGCAGCTCATTGAAGGACTATCGAAGAGTACTTGGGCTCTCGTTCTTAAAATCAAACTTGTTCTGCCAGATACAAGACCTTGGATTTATCCAAATTGCAGAAACATTGCTTTGACCATCCGTCCACCAAAATACCTCCCATTCAGATCAACAACAGCTAGAATTGCTGTTGTGAGGTTGTCCTATGCATAGTCAGGTGCTCAGCAGCATCCCTGGACTCTACCCAGCAGGTGCCAGTGGCACCCCTCCAAGCCATGACGAAATAAACACCTCCAGATAATGCCAAGTGTCCCCTGACAGGAAAAGTCATTTCAGGTTGAGAACCACCTGTCTAGAGTTTGAAAAAGAAGTCCTAGTAGAAGATTTGTATTTCACTATCTAGGAGACAGCTGAAGCACTAAAAAGCAATGACATTACCAGGGGAAAGACTGTGGAATTAAAAAAAAAAAAAAAAAAGAGGACACCAACATTCAAGAGGAAAAGCCGCCAGCAAAAATGATATGGTGTGAACAAAGACGTAGGAGAAAAACCAAGAGACAAGTGTCAGAGGACCCAAGAGGAGAATAAAGTTTTAAGAAGTTGGGAACAGCACAAATGCAGCAAGAGACTCAAAAGTAGGAGTCAAAAGTTTGGGAAATTGAAGCGTGAAGAGGGAGGAGCAGCCCAGCTGTGTTGAGGGTGCACAGGAATTGGGAAAACGACCACCATGAGAACTACTCCTCATTTGCAAAAGTTTACGGTGACAGAAAGCAGCACCATTAAGGGGTGATGGCTTCAAATGCAGCAATGCTATAATTCTTCTGAGGATATGGTATAGCTGTTGCTCCAGTTTTCAAATTCCTGCCATATGAAAGCACATCTTATAAGAATCTTTGTTACCCGATTAAGAATGGTGACCACACATCAGAGGCATGTACTTTAAAAGACAGGTTTAACTGAACCATCACTGAAATACCACCGAATAATTATTTTGTTTTGATGTGATTTAATTTTAAACTCTATGTAAATTTTATCTAATTTCTAAAATGACTCACATTTAGCCCCCCAGAAGGCAATACTTCTTCCTGAAAAAATCCTTTTAATTCCTGCCATAAAACCTCTTTTCCAGCTCTCAGGTAGTGTAATAAGCACAGAATATTGTGCTGTCCTGCATGACAGCTGCTCCTTTCAGGATGCCTCCACACTACTTTGCAAAGGGGTGAGTAACATTTTAAGCATATCCTGTATCATTTGGAGAGGTGTGACAGAAGGCAGGCCGGATGACTCGCAGGCAGAGAGAACACAAGGGTGACGGATGAGTAAGCATGAAAACCGGACACTTGTCAGCTAGGAGTTAGATGTAAACCAGAATGTTTTAGAATAATGTGGGCATTCCTGTCAGGAAAAAGATGAATTTCTGCCCTTGGAAGACCTTTAGGATTCTACAAGTCTGCTTTCTTTCCATTAGTTCTAAGGCTGCTACTAAAATAAGTATAAAGTCCTTTCATTATAACCTAGATTACTTTTGCAAAGTCAACTTCGCTTACTCTTGATTTAGTCGTTGATTCCGTCAGTTAAAAGAAAAATCAGCTTTGTCATATGCATGCATTCAGAAAGATGTTGACTTAAGAGCATGAATATTGGCTTACTAAATCCATACAGTGAAATCTAATTAGTAGGTGTAGAACCAGACCTGAAACTATATGGATTTCTATTTACCATTTACACAGTAATCAAAGAAAGCCTTTTAGAATACACACGTGTGTGGGTGTACATGTAAAAAACGGCAGAATTTTGATGCATTCAATGTAATTTCTTTTGCACAATAATAATACTGTGGTTACAAATTATTTATGATGTGAAATCCACTAATTCATGGCATCCCACAGCCATGAACTCTGCTTTCTGACAATGTGGTAAACAGAAAGAAAAAAAAAAGGCTAGCTGGGAGTTGGAAGGCTCTGTGGCCTCACCTTCCTCATTTGTAAAATGAGAGTAAATGACTAGATGCTTTTGGAGATCTCTTTTGTGAGAAGGGCGTATGACTGAATAGACTAACATTTTAAATATGCATTTTACAGGAAAACAGCATATCCTTTGTCAAATAAGGTAAGATCTCTAAGGAGCTATACCAACTATCAGTATCAAAGAGAAATAATAGAAGAAATTATTTTTCAATAATCTAGGAGTTGATGCACCTTTGAGGAGAACAGCTTATAGTTTTCTCTTAGGACAATCTCTTGGGACTTTTGTACACTTATATATAAAGGTAAGAGTTAGAAAATGAGGAGATGGGCGGGTTCCAGAAGGTCCAGTATTAAACATATCAGAAAATTTTTTGTACAAATCCACTAGAGCAATGCAATATACAGCACAAAAGCAGGTGACTATAAAATTTTTGATGATTATAAATGCATTGAGAATCAATTTGACAAAACTAATTTTCTCTCCCCCTGGA